TCTCAAAGATCAATAAAGAAAAAGTAACTGAGTACTTGTTAGAGAAACAGTGTGATATTCACATGAAAACGCATCCACATGCAAGCCATACAGGCGGAGTCTGGGAGAGGCAAATCAGAACTGTAAGAAACGTACTAAGTTCAGTGTTGAAAAAGAACGCTTTTAGGAGTCTGAGGAGTCCCGGCGGCCATCCTGATTTGGTCAGTATTACTCTTTTATACCCATCTGGAAATCCAGATGTATAACACCAGATGGACTCTTAGGGTACCTAGAAGATCCACAGCAGCTGGTCCACAGTGTATTTTACATCCAGAAGAGGGAGCTCATTCACCTAGGCTGCCCATTCACTGATCCTTATCGTGCTGCATACCACTACACCCAAGGCTGATGATCCACCTGCGAGGGATGTACCATGTGCATTGCTGATTACCTGGATTGCTGGTCATATACGTGCGCATTTTTAAATGCGTGGTCGGTGAGTGCGCATTTCTTCTATACGGTTCCAGTCACCTATTTTTGCATAAGGAAGATTCTCACTCCATTTTCCTCTTCTGTTTTTGATGTTTATGAAGATTGCATGAACTTAATGATACATATCACAGCGCTGCACTTCATTTATGTATGATTTATGATACAAGGTTTTGGTGATTCCTTTGAGTGTTCTAGCAGCTGACTATATGAGCGCTCGCTTTATATCTTTAGATATCTTGAGAAGTTGCAAGCCTTAAGCTATCCCTCCTCGTCAGGAACCTTTCTCTGCCACTAGCTCTGTCCTCTACTAAATGGGGTACCTGTCTCTACTCTGCCAGCTTGCTAAATGCGTGCCAAACCTGGCAGCCAGAGTCTTAAAAAAGTGCTGCCTGGCTCAAGATGGCTGCTAGAGTCACATAGGGCATCAGCATCCAATTGGATCTTTTCTTCAGTGACCCAGGAAACCATAGAGGAAACCGTGTTCCTCCTGACTTCCTCTCCAACTGAGTCAAAAAAAAAGAAAAAAAGATTGAAGTTTTGTTTAGTTTTTAATGATCACTGGAGGATCAGGAGAATGTGCAATAATTTGTGATTGGTCTGAATAATTTATGTGGAGCTGTTGGACCTTCTGGGAGTCGCATAATTTGGACATCAAGCATCTGTGATTCATGAATTGTATGATTCTCTGGAGAGCAAATAAATCTACATCCATATGTAGCACTACCCCCATAGAAGCCACTCAGAAATATTTATTTTTAGGTGGGTCCCCCCTATAGTCCTGCTTCTCCAGACCTTCAACACCTCCCACACAGACATGCATCCATAATCAGAAATCTAGTCATTAAGAATTTGTTTTAATGGGGGATTCGAACTTGGATAGGGTATACGAGTGTACAGGATGCCCAATGGATTGAAACTTGAGGACAGCTTTCCTGAACTATATACATCTACATCTTTAAGGCTTCAATGAACACACAGTTGGAGTGCCTGCCAGCACCTCCAGATGACAAAGTTTCACTTGTCCTGAGCAGCGGACCCAGATCCTGTTCCCTTGAAAGGGTAGACAGTAACTAGCAAGGGGGCTAATCTGGTTTCCCACCAGAGTGCTCCTTTCCCAATCCACCCATGGGGGATTCAGGTGTACTCACTCAGGTTACTCTCCTGTACAGCATGTGGATGTCTGCAGTTACCAGGCTTGTGAGCTGTATGGCTCCCTCCTGTTATACAGGTGATCCTTTTTCTGTAGGGACCAGCGAGTCTTGAGTTTTATCCATCCTCAGCACATAACTCTCAGGGAGGCCCCATCCCAGAAGACCTCCTGGCTGCTTCACAGCACTCTGATCTCTTCCATCTTCCACCTGACCATCATGCTCCAACACCACCTCTTCCTTCAACTCCTCCTGACTGAGCAGGCTCCATCACCTTTTAAGTAGTCCAGCCCCTTTCCAAACTCCTGTTGGGAATTGGCTGGGGTCCATAAAGAGATGCAGCCCTCTACTCTTAAAAACTTCCCACTGCCTCCAATGCCCTCCCAGAGAACCTCATGCCAGGGGAAATTCTAGAGAGGCCTTTCAGCCCTGACCCACTTTTGATCCCTCTGGCTATTAAACCTGAGCTGCTAACAGCTCCTGACTAGCCATTTAAGGATCTAACTTCCCCTAATGTAACTAGGAGGGTGTTATACATATGTTTAGCTGAATGAAATAAATATGCCTTCTAGCAATTTTCTCAGCCGATTGGCAGCTTGACTCAGTTTTCTTCTGTGCTCATCCCATAAGGGTGACCATTCTTCTCTTACCTGTATATGAAAACGGGGACAATGAAATCTTTGTAGTTTGGGGTCTTATCATTGTTCACTATCCAGGTCATTATTTCACTGTAATTTTCTGGCCAGTTGACCTGCTGGTCCACAGGCATCAAATTTCCTGCAAAACAAGTCAAGAGGTCAGTGCAGAGAACTTACACCAAATCTTGGCGTTTTCTTCTACAAAGTACAGAAATAAAAAAAAAAAAACATTTTTTGCTTAGTTTTTGTTATAGAATTTTGCAAATAGATATTTTTTCTTCATAAAATATACGCCAAAATGTATTCTGCTACATTTTTGGGTAAAAATAACCCAAAACAGTTTATATTATTAGATATAAGGCGGTGGTGCAGTGCTTAAAATTGTAGACAACAAATTAATAGCATGAAAAACGCACATACCTGATGGGTGCAATTCCGCGTAAAAGAATTTAAACTATGGTGATAATAACAAAGTGACCATATATAACTTTTAAAACCATATGATGGTAAAACACCAACTAAAAAATATTGATGCCAAACGCATAAAACAGAAACGCACATCACATATAGGTATGAAATAGATGCATTGATAACATGTACAAAACATACATTATATAGATAAGTGCATGGAGACCAGGGGCGGACTGACCATTTGGTAAACTCGGGCATTGCCCTGAGGGCCCTCGGGGTCAGTAGGGGGGCCCCATGAGATGCCCCTGGTACCTTTTTCATAGGCTTTTTTGAGTTTGGGCAAGGACACAGCAGGGCCCCATGATCCCCTATTGCCCGGGGGGCCCCATGAGTTGTCAGTCCGCCCCTGATGGAGACCATATAAAAAGTGAAATGAGTCCAAATCTGGATGTTGATATTGATACAAAAACACATGAACGTGGAGTGCATTCAAGTTATGAGATAATGTGAAGTTAAATTTTAGGATGATGTGATTGGATCCAGTTAACAGACATTCCACAGTTCGTGTGCCAATAAATGTGTAAAATGCGCACTCAACCAGATGCGCTATTTAAAAGCGTGTTGTATCTAATATAGTGGATCAGTCGTGGGTCCCTTCACACAGGCGATCCGAGGTACAGCCTGAGGGTGGGTGGTCTTCCTTAGGTGGCAGGGTATTTGGACAAGCCCGTATAGAATAATTCAACCTCTTCAAGGTAATGGGGAATTCGCCAGCAATCACTGAGGGATTTAAAATGCTCGAGGTGGAGCAAGAAGTGGGGATATTCCCATAGTGTAGTAATTCAGATAATGCTTTAATAGTTAAAAAAAGGATAAATCCAAAAACGTACAGGAATGTAATGTACACTGGAGCAATTCGGTGACAAATTGTGTAAAAAGCAAACTGACCAGCTGGTGTCATGGGGTGGCCACCGGACCTCCGTGATCTGGTGGCATAGACAGGAGCCCCTGCAAGCCGTTGACGTCTATGCCACCGGATCACGGAGGTCCGGTGGCCCACCCCATGACACCAGCTGGTCAGTTTGCTTTTTACACAATTTGTCACCGAATTGCTCCAGTGTAACATTACATTCCTGTACGTTTTTGGATTTATCCTTTTTTAACTATTTAAAGCATTATATGGTCTCCAATGCACTTATCTATATAATGTTATGTTTTTGTACATATGTTATCAAGCATCTATTTCATACCTATATGTGATGTGTTTTTTTTTGGTTATGCGTTTGGCATCAATATTTTTTAGTTGGTTTTTCCATCATATGGTTTTAAAAGTTATATATGGTCACTTTGTTATTATCACCATAGTTTTATCGTTTAGGCGGAATCACACCATCAGGTATGTGCGTTGTTCATGCTATTAGTTTGTTGTCTACAATTTTTAAGCACTGCACTACCACCTTATATCAGATTTTTTTAAGGCATATGGTATACCTTTTGAGTGTTTCAGCTGCTTCAGTATTTATTAGCGCTCGCTTTCTTTTCTGTTTGTTATAGTTTAGGAGGTGATCACAATGCTGGTGTGGGATATTGCAGTGATCAGGATGCTGGTATGGGGTATGGAGGTGATCAGGATGCTGGTACAAGGTATGGTGGGTGATCAAGATGCTGGTATGGGGTATGGAGCTGATGGAGGTGCTAGTTAAAGGTATGTTGGTGATCAGGATGCTGGTATGGGATATAGTGGTGATCAGGACGCTGGTATGGGATATGGTGGTGATCAGGATGCTGGTATGGGGTTTATGGTGGTGATTGGGTTGCTGGTATGGGGTATGAAGGTGATCACAATGCTGGTGTGGGGTATTTGCAGTGATCAGGACATTGGTATGGTGTATGGAGGTGATCAGGATGCTGATATGGAGGTATAGTGGTGATCATGGCGCTGGTATGGTGTTGTATGGAGGTTATCACACTGCTGGTTATGGGGTATGGCGGTGATCAAGATACTGGTATGGGGTATTGGTGTGTGATCAGGAATCCGGTATGGGGTATGGCGGTGATCATGGTGCTGGTATGAGGTTATAGTGGTGATCGGGGCACTGGTATGGTGTATGGAGGTGATCACACTGCTGGTATGAGGTATGACAGTGATCAAGATACTGGTATGGGGTATGGTGGTGATCAGGATGCTGGTATGGTGTATGGAGGTGATCAGGGATGCTGGTATGGGGTATGGGGTAAGGATGCTTGCGGTGATCAGGATGCTGGTATGGGGTATGGCATGATCAGGATGCTGGGTATGGGGTGATCATATGGCGGTGATCAGGACGCTGGTATGGGGTATGGCGGGTGGTGATCAGGACGCTGGTATGGGGTATGGCGGTGATCAGGACGCTGGGTATGTATGGGGTATGGCAGTGATCAGGATGCTGGTATTGGGGAATTATATGGAGGTGATTGAGGATTGGGGGGGGGGTGGTAGGGGTATGGGGGAGGTGGTTCAGGATGCTGGTATGGTGTTTATGGTAGGTGATAAGGATGCTGGTATGGGGTATGGAGGTGATCAGGATGCTGGTAATGGTGGTGATCAGAATGCTGGTATGGCGGTTGGATACAAGGATGCTGGTATGGCGGTGATCGGGGGGGGATCACAGGTATTGGTGTATGGGAGGTGATCAGGATGCTGGTATGAGGTATGGTGGTGATCAGGATGCTGGTATGGGGTATGGTGGTGATCAGAATGCTGGTATGGTGGTGATCAGGATGCTGGTATGGCGGTGATCAGGATGCTGGTATGGCGGTGATCGGGGCACTGGTATGGTGTATGGAGGTGAAATTCAGGATGCTAGTATGGGGTATGACAGTGATCAGGATGCTGGTATGAGGTATGGTGGTGATCAGGATGCTGGTATGGGGGTGATCGGGGCACTGGTATGGTGTATGGAGGTGATCAGGATGCTGGTATGGGGTATGGTATTTAAATGGTGATCAGGATGCTGGTATATGGGGTATGGCGGTGATCTGGGCACTGGTATGGTGTATGGAGGTGATCAGGATGCTGGTATGGTGTATGGCGGTGATCGGGGGCACTGGTATGGTGTATGGAGGTGATCAGGATGCTGGTATGGTGTATGGAGGTGATCAGGATGCTGGTATGGGGTATGGCGGTGATCAGGATGCTGGTAAGGGTATGGTGGTGATCAGGACGCTGGTATTATGTATGGAGGTGATCAGGATGCTGGTATGGGGTATGGTGGTGATCAGGACGCTGGTATTATGTATGGAGGTGATCAGGATGCTGGTATGAGGTATGGCAGTGATCGGGGCACTGGTATGGTGTATGGTGGTGATCACAACGCTGGTATGGAGTATGGCTGTGATCAGGGTGCTAGTATTGTGTATGGCGGTGATCAGGGTGCTGGTATTGTGTATGGCAATGATCGGGGTGCTGGTATGGGGTATGGTGGTGATCGGGTGTTGTTGATACGGTGTATGGAGGTGATCAGGTCGCTGGTATGAGGTATGGAGGTGATCGAGGTGCTGGTATGGCAGATGGCAGTGATCAGGATGTTGGTTTGGGGTATGGCAGTGATCAGGATGTTGGTTTGGGGTATGGCAGTGAATCAGGACACTGGAAGAGTTTAAACACATGATTTATCCCTGGCTCACACTGAATCAGGGGCAGACTGACAACTCATGGGGCCCCTGGGCAATAGGGGATCATGGGGCCCCTGTATTCTTGCCCAAACTCAAAGAAGCATATGAAAAAGGTACCAGGGGCATCTCATGGGGTCTACTGACCCAGGCCCTCGGGCAGTTCCCGAGTTTCCAAATGGTCAGTCTAAATTAATGCCCCTGCACTGAATGCGACATTTGAAATGGTGCTACTTCATTACTTCATTCATCAAGTGGGTCAAAGGTCAGTGCAATTTTCAGGTACGACTTCCCTGACATCTGATCGACTTCATGCACAGATGTCTATGCAAGTCGCACCTGAAATCGACACAAATAGTGCAGCAATTTGATGGAGTTGGATGGAGTCGAGGTCTCACAGATTTGAATGGTTTAATTGCCGGCAATAGGTTGCACCTTGTCATGGAACGGTCAAATTGCATGACAAGTCGCACTGGAGTGAACTAGGGCTTAAAGTGGTTGTAAAGGCAGAGCATTCTCTGCATTAAGGTAAAAAACCTTCTGTTCAGCTCCCTCTCTGCAGCACTGCTCTCTCTCTTTTCTCTCTCTTTTCTCTCTCTTTTCTCTCTCTCTTTTCCTCACTGGACATGGAGGCAGTAGCAGGAGCCATTGGCTCCCTCTGTTGTCGATCAAAGCTTGTGAGAAGAAAGGGGGCAGGGCTAAGCTGTGCTGTGTGCACCATTGGACACACAGAGCATGGCTTGGGAGTGAGCCCGCAGGAGTGCCCCATAGCAAGCGGCTTGATATAGGGGCATTCTGAAGAGTGGAGTAGCCTAGAGCACTAGCGTTGGACCCCAGAAGAGGAGGATCGGGCCACTTTGTTCAAAACCATTGCAGAGGGCAGGTAAGTATAATGTGTATTATTAAAAAAAAATACCTTTACAATCACTTTAAATAATCTTAAAATATATTTTAATAGTAGGATATCAAACAGAGGGTAGTTGGGAGTCAACATTTCAGTCATTTCATACATATGTTAAAGGCTCTATAATAATCATATTTTTAAAAAATGAATAAATGGCAGCAATGTGCTTGTTTTTTCCCTGCAAAGCAGGGAGATAAAACAAACACATTATTTACTAAAAGCAGCAATAGTTTATGTGCATTACACATAGTTAGGCACACAGTTAACCCCTTGATTGTCCCTAGGTGTTAACCCCTTCCCAGTCAGTGTAATTAGTACAGTGAGAGTGTATAGTGTTATCACTGATCACTGTATTAATGTCACTGGTGATATCAGTGGCAGTTAATCAGTTCCCACCCAGTGTCAGTTAGTGTCAGAATGCCCTCTGCACTATCACAGCCCAATATAAATCACTGATCACTGCCATTAGTAAATATAAAAAAAAAATAAAAATTCTAGTATATACACCATAGTTTGTAGACTGTATAACTTTCACACAAACCAATCAATATACATTAATTGGTCTTTTTTTTTTTACTAAAGACATGCAGCAGAGTACATTTTGGCCTAAATTTTTTTAGGAAATTAGATTTTTTTTAATTTTTATTGGGTATGTTTAAAGTAAAAAATAAAAAAAAATAAAAAAAATAAATAAAAAATAAACAATAAATAAAAAAAATAAAAAAAAAATTTAGTTTGGGTAAAAAAAAATGACCGCGCAATTGCCAGTTTCCAAATCATTGTCAAATAAATCTATTATTTTTTGAAGTTTTCTTTGAAAAAAAAAAATTATTATGTTATATTTTTAGATTTAAGAATTCTTTAAAATCTAGTCAACAGTTAGACTTGTTTGATTTATTTTTTTTTGATTTTTGATTTATGTAAAGTGCTTTAGCATTTCATGTATCGATTATTAATATTCTCTTTTACTCTTTTTAAAAAAACAAATATTAAATACTAGCATATTTTTAGTATTCGGTTATTTTTACTTTCTATTTAATTTAATTTTTTTTTTGTTTACTTTTGTTATAATTTTTGTATATGTCGGTGTATAATAAGTGCTTTAATTTTGTTTAGATATATCTTTCTAAATTAATAAATCAGAGATGTTGTTATTTGCTCTCATTAATTGATTATAATTAAAAGTCTATGTTTTTTTTATGATTTTCCATTTTAATTATAAAAAACAAATTTTTTTGAGACTTTTTGTTCTTGTAGTGTAATTTTTTTTTTTTTGAATCTTAGTTGTTTATTAAATGTTACTCCCTATACACGTGATTTTTTTGTCTGAATATTGTATTTCGATTTTGAAATAACACATTCTTGTTCAGAGCGGTTTGTTGTTCGGATGTTCTTTTGAGATTTTATCTATTTGACTGTTTGTGTGGTTTTTTGTTTTATTTTTTTATCTTGTCTATATTCTGTTTGAAGTAAGATATGAGCTTTTGTGTCTACTCACATTTCTTGCTTTTAGTGTTGGTCTAGTTTTTGTGGACTCTATTTTTTCTAATGTCTGTGTCATTTTTTCATCCACGAATTTTTTTCTCAGTATTATGTTTGGTATTATATATGATTAGAGTATTACGGGTCTCTTTTTTGTTAACATTTATTTTTCATTAGTTGTTATCACTTGTTTTAATAAGCATCTTTATTGTAGAAATTTTTAAGTTTCTTTTTTATTTTGTTTGTAAAAAAAAAAACTTTTTTTAAAAAATTTAAAAAAAAAAAAAGTTTTAAAACTTGAAAATATTTTGGACTATCTTGTTTTTTTTGTCTGTCATTTCGCGAAATTCTTAACTTTGAATTTTTGATCGCATGGTTAAGGTTTTGTGTCGGGTTTCTCGATTAGTTTTTGTACTATTTTGTTAGTTTATCTTTCTTTTATATTAACTTTAATTTTTTTCGTCCGGAGATTATTTTCGATGAAATCTTTATGCTTCAAAAAAAAAATGTCACTTTTATTGAACATTAAGTGTGAATTATGTAGTCTTGTCAACTGATTTTTCTCATCAATATTTTTAATTGTTTCTCATCTCTAGTTAGTAGTTTTTGATTTTCGTTTTGTTGAGCCTGTTAATAACTATTTTTATGATATTCTTAACACTCTTTTTATCATTCTTGTTTATAGTAAAATTCCTATGATTTTGTTGTTCCATTGTTAAAAAATCTCTTCAACTTTGATCGAAAAAAATTAAGTTTGGAGAGATTAATATACAATTCCAAACATATAGAATTAAATGAAACGTTGTAAAATACAAATCATTGTGTTTATTATTATGATCTTTGACATAACAAAAAAAGTTCTAATACGCCACTGTTCCCAGTTGTCGCTATAATTTAATATACAATATCCTTGGTATGATTTCTAGATACAATTCGAAGTAATAGATATATTTCTGCAATCTGTTAATTTTTTTATCTTAACTACCTTCGTATCGGCGCTCTAGAAGTTGTTATTCTACTGGTTACGATTTTAAAAGCATGGGTGCAGTATAATCCTTCCTTTTCTTCGCAGCTTGCCCGAAAACTGGTGTGTTAAATTTTTATTCATGTTTTCTTTTTACAAAACAATGTGGTAAAATCCGTTTATTTTTATTTTTGAGACATCCTGAAAAAAAAAAATTCTAAAAAAAAAAAAGACAACCATCTTTTTTTTTTATTATTATTGTTTTTTACTATTTATTTGTTTTATATTTTTCAATAAAATGATGTTTTTTATTCTATTTTTATGATATTTTTATTTGTTTTAAAGTTTATATTTATTTTATTTTTATGATTCGTATTTTTCTTTATCTATTTGGTTTTATTTTTTATTTTTTGTAATTATGTTTCTATTTGTTTTTTGTTATTTTTGTATAGTTTATTTTTTTTTTTAGTATTATGTTTTTATCTATTCTTTTTTTTTTTTTAGTTTTATTGTTATTTTGTTTTATTTTTGATGTTGATTGTTTTGGGTTCTAGGTTAAATTATTTAACTTTTTTTTTGTTTGAGTGTTTGTGAAGTTGGTGTTTATTTTATTACTTATATGGTATAATTTTTTATCTGTTTATTCTTTTTTTTTACTTTTTTATTGTCATTTTAAAATTTTTAGATGATGTGCGAATCGTTTTAATTGAGGGAGTGGTTTTGTTTTGTACTTTTTAATGTTTTTTGTTTATATTTTTGTATTGTGATGTGTAGATTGTCTGTTTTTATAATTGTTATTTTTGTTTTTCTCTGGGTCTTCTTGTGACTTTTTATTTGGCAAATTCATAAAAAAAAGGTTTTTTCTATTGTATGTTCTTTTTTTTTAAAAAAAAAAAAAAAAACATTTTCTCTCTGTATTCTGATTTTTCATACGTTTTAGAAATAAGAGCTTATTAAAAGATTGTATTATCTAACCCTTTTAAATAAATATTTAATTCAGTAAATTCGATTATGTCTTAATTTAGATGTCGTTTTTTGAAAGTTTTTCAATTACTTTAATATTTATGCAGCAAAAATGATAAGCTACATATCAAAAATTTGTATATTTGTCCTGTAAATTTCTTTCCTTTGTATTTAGTTTTCTCCATCTCCTTTCTTCTTTATGAGGGACTATTCCCATCTACAAATTTTTGATTCTAATTGTTAATTGGCTTTGCCTGTGTTGGTTTTGGGGAGGATGTACTGTATATATTGCCTGTTATGTCATTTCCATTAATGGCTATTACTAAGGCTTTGTAGCTGAAACACTAATCTTGTACATCTGCACTTCAGCTGCATCAATGCCGGCTATACAATCTGATTTGATGCAGTGAACACTTCTAAGAATTGAAAAAGGCTGTTAATATAATAAATGTTTGGTTTGGGTATACCACTTTAAAATACAATATATGTATTTGGGGGGGGGGGGTAAGGAGTTTCACA